AATAATAAGGAAAAAGTGAATAGCAGTGTGTGTTGTATGTGTGTGAGAGAGAAAGTGAGGAGAGAGAGAGACAGCTGATGAACTGTGATATGATGAGGTGATAAGAAATGAGGCAACAAAAGAATCTCAATAGACCATTAAATGCATGGGATTTATATTTTTTTACATTTTTTTTTTTATTTTTGAATTTTTGCTTTTCTGCAGCAAAAGCTTTTAATTTTGTACCGTCCATTTATTATTTACTCTGTCTGCTGCAGACACATTTTTAACCAAAAAAAAAAAAAAATCAAATCTTTAAAAAGTGAAGTAAAAAAATAAATAAAATCTGACACAATTATGGTGATCAAGTTTCCTGCTTTGACCACCAGACAAGAAAATTTCTTCAAGAAACACAAAACCCATTAACAAAAAACTCAAAAAATGCAGTAAAAATACAATCTTTTTTAATAATTCTCATAAAACACACACATACACACACAAAAAAAAAAAAGAAAAAACATCTTGATCAGATCCCTTGTTTTTCTGGTGTGTGCTTTTTTTCATTCTTGCATGCAACTAATTCTAAAGAAAATTCATACAAAACACACACACACACACACACACACACTGCACACAGTGAGTACATACAGTAGAGAGAGAAAATGGAGCTCACCGGAAATTGAAGAGAGAGAGAGAGAGAGAGAGAGAGAGAGAGAGAGAGCAATAAAAGTGTGTGTACCTGAGCTGAATTTTTTTTTGCTTTTTAAGCTTTCTTTTGATGTCTCATCTGAGCTGATTTCATGGGTTATTTTGTTTTTGTGCAAAAATTCGCCTAAGACGACAAAAGATTGTGAGTTTATATTTATTTTTATTTTTTGTGGTGACGACATTGAAAAAAGGCAATAAGTTTGATAAGATTAGCAAAAATCCCCTTCTTTTTCCATGCAAACTGGCTCTCTCTAGGCCCCATTTTGAGCTTTTACTTCTTTCTAGACATGTTCACGGGCTGAATCGGTCCGCGAACCGGCACCGTCCCGGCACGAACTGGGAATCCTAAGGGCCGGTTCATTGAACCAGACCAGTAGGGCCGCAGTTCGGTCCCAGTTCCTTTTTTTTTGTCCCGTCGGGCCGGGTCGGAAGGCAGGTCACATTGTTAAAATCTTTTGTTTTCTTTTAAGAGACGTCCCGACCCGTGAACCGGCGGTTCGGGCCGATTCATAGAACCGGCCCTTGATTTTTAGCGGGCGAGTCGCGGGCCGTGTGTTAGAGGGCCTGTGGCCCAGCGGGCCTGGCCCTTGACTGGCCACCACTACTTCTTTCCCTCTTAAAAATTGTTAGAATGAAACTAAAAAGAAAAAAAAAAAATAGAATGTATTGCAATAAAAGATAATTATAAGGTATGGTTCTGTAACCGTTAGATCAATTATCTCTGACGATTATATGATAATATAACGGTTACAAACTCCAACAGAATAATTCTGTTACGGTACGTTCCCAATAATTTTGCATCAAAATTTGAATTTTCAATAAATATTATTCTTCAAATTGTTCAACTTTAAAATTTAACAAACTATTATTGATTAATTATATTTCAAATTAAACTACATTTGATAGGGGTACTTCGAAATTTTACTCAATTAAACCAATTTTGAGAAAAAAAAAAAAAAAGAACATTGAGCTATATACAATTTGAACAAATTTTGGTCGAGGTAAATAACAATGAATAATTTTGTCTGATACATCGTGGTCATGTGTATTTTAAATAAAATATTGTGCATGGCTCGTGCATAGATAAAGTATATTATAATAATCTTCTTTATATATTACAATAATCTTCTTGTACAGATTATTCTCTAGTTTTATGTACATAGAGATGATTCCAATAATTTGGATGCCTATAATAATATCCTTGAGTTGACCGTCATGTATCATTTTATTTATGGAAAATGCTACGATTCCTTTAAGGAATAATTCCGTTGGGATTTGTAATGGTTATATCAATTATCCTCGATAATTACATGAAATCTACCGATTACAAGTCCCGACGTAATGATTCTGTAACGGACGGTAGCATCTCCCTGTATTCTAATTAACTTTGGTTTACTTTTGTTTGAAGAGATATCCATGCAAGATTTTGATTATTTTTTTTTATATGAATCAGAGCTATTTAAAATAAAATTTATTCTCCAATACTATAGAACAAAAGTTATAATTAATGGTGAGTTGAAACGCATGTAATCTGATTTTCTCTTCTTGTTTTTT